TACTTGTTTCAATCATTTATAACTTGACCAAATATAATTTTATGCATTCGTTTTAACCATTTAACAGTCCCGTGTATTTTTTAAAATACGGTCACATTAAGTCCAGCTTTTTTTTTTCTTTTTTCAAGTGGTCGCTAAATGTCCCGTGTTTTTTAAATCATCGTGTTTGTTGACAAACAAAATAAAATTTTTTTTTACTGTTTTTAACCTTTTTAAACACTCCAAAACGTCACTATTCAAGTTTAAGAATATATAAATCATACTATATAAACAAAAAATTGTAAATATGTATTCTCTAATATTCACTTTTTGCATGAGAATTGGAAAAGCATGGAGCTGCACAATGTCTTATATTCTAAACATTCATATCTTGAACCTTTTTGATTTATTTGTTTGTAACATACCGCACACCTTCTTTGAGCATTAATCTTTTGTTATCATTTTCAATAATCATTCATTAAATATATCTTTTCATGATTGATTCATCAAATGTATAATTTCTATCCTTTAGTGAGTAAGTACTTACATTTTGATAATTATTTTTGCACTGAAAGAACTTCCTTATTTGTCATATTTAAAATTTAAGTAAACATGTGTAAAAGTAACTAATTGAAACAAAAGCTTTTTAATTATGTAGTAATAAATTTTGTGACAAGTAGACGTATAATTACTGATGAAAAAGAAAAAAATATAAACAGATGTATGAAAACGTAATATTACGGCATGGACATTTAGGAGCCACTTTTAGTTTGCGTAATATTACGGCATGGACTTTTAGAAACCACTTTTTATTTGCGTAATATTACGGCATGGACTTTTAGAAACCACTTTTTATTTGCGTAATATTACGGCATGGACTGTTAACGAGTTAAGTTGGTTGATTAATGTATAAATCTTTTTTTCTTACATTACTATACTTAATAAATTATGTATTTATTATATTTATTATGTTTTAAATAGTAAAGTAAAAATCTAATAAATTTTTGAATGTAATAGTGTATACATAAGACTTTTTATTTTAACTTTATAGTTTCATTTAAATTACTGCATTAGTAAGCAGGCAGCTTTGACTGGCAATGTAAATGATGATGTACATCATGCAGAGAGCTCAGATGAAGAAGTAAATTTTTTTAATTACAAATTAAAAGCAATACTTTAATTGTTTTAAGCAAGTGTTACTGACAAGCAAGTAAGATTTATATATGTAATAATTTGTGCGTAAATCTTTATATTTTAACTTTATTATATTATTTAATTTATTATGTTATAAGCAGGAAATTCTGTCTGACAATATGAATGATGTTTTGCACTATGCAAATAGCTCGGGTGAAGAAGAGGTAAGAATCTTATAACTATTATTTTTAAATGATGATATAATCATTGCTACTTTTTTCAATATAAATTTTGCATGCTGCCAACATTTATATAGAATGTTCAAAAAGTTGTGTGGATGCCTAATTTTAAATTAAGTTATAACAGATGATATATATAAGTATAAATAAATTAGTATATAAAGAAAGTTGATTAGTATGTGTATATTAATTTTATCTAGATTGGTGAAGCAGACAATGATGTTAATTTTGATGAAAAGAGTAATGAATATAATGTCAACGATAATTTATTTACCGATCCTTTGTATGAAGAAAAAATTCTACCTGATTCTGCAATTACAGTTGGCGGTGCAATCGCTCTTATAATGGCCTTTATTTTGCAGCATAGCTTGACAAAACTTGCTTTGGATGATTTGCTTAGTCTATTGCATATTTTTATACCTCATTTATTGTTACCAAAAACTAGGTATTTGTTTGATAAAATATTTAGTGTTTGCCAAGGCAAACTGGAACAACATTTCTATTGTAATAAATGCTTTACATGTACATATTTGGGTACCACTATAAGTGATTTTGATGTTTGTCCAGTTTGTGAAGTTGATGTACAAAGTAGTTTGAACAGAGATTTTTTTCTTGTGCTGCCACTTGAACATTAGTTACGTGAAATGTTAGAAAATAGTAATTTATTTGATCTTATTCAGTATCATTTTGATCGTGTTAAAATCAATGCAGACAACATTGAGGACATTTATGATGGATCTTCATATAAATCTATTTCAGAGTTGCAACAGACAATAAATATGTCATTAACATGGAATTGTGATGGAGCAAGTGCTTTCAGGTCATCTATAAAAAGTATTTGGCCTTTGCAATGTGTAATAAATGAGTTGCCTTTTAACATTCGAAGGAAGCATGTGTTGTTAACATTATGGTTTAGTGCTAAGCCTAAAATAAATACGTTTTTAAAGGTGTTTGTCGAAGAATGTTCAATATTAGCAAGTAGTGGTTTTTGTGGTTTAATAAGGCTCAGAATAAAAATATAGTAAGCAAGGTTTATTGTTTTGTATGTTCTTGTGATTCTTCTGCAAGGTGTGTTTTGCAAAATATTAAACAATTTAATGGAAAATATGGATGTTCGTGGTGTTTTAATCCAGGTATTGCAATTAGTAACAGTAATGGTGGACCTCCAAAACGTGTTTTTGATAATCAATTATATCCAAGCAGAACTTTAAATGGATTTGTTGATGATGTGAGGTATCTTGTAGAAAATGGAGAAATAAGAAATTGTGTAAAGGGTGCCAGTCCATTGTTACTGATTCCTTATTTTAATATAAATGATGGATTTGTTATAGATTACATGCATTGCATTTTGCTAGGAGTTGCAAGACAGATGATTGTCTTGTGGCTTGAAAAGACCAATGAGCCATGGTATATTGGAAATAAAATTAACAGTATGAATGAAATGATGTTAAAAATAAAACCACCTAGTAATATTACGAGAGCACCAAGATCTTTTCATGAAAGAGCACATTAGAAAGCCTCAGAATGGCGTAACTGGTTGTTATTTTATTCTTTATTTGTTTTACATGGTGTTTTACCACAAGTTTATTATAACCTATTTTTGTTACTAGTGGAAAGTATTTACATATTGTTAAGCAAAAGTCTTAGTCATGCAGACCTAGATCAAGCTGAAAATCAATTGCATGTGTTTGTGTCTGATTTTAGTGTTATATATGCTATTGATTATATGACTTACAATATTCATTTGTTACAGCATATTTCTTCTACTGTTTGTGAGTGGGGTCCATTATGGGGCATTTCTAACTTTATGTTTGAAAACAGCAATGGTTTTTTGTTAGACCTTTTTAAAGGTACACAAAGTGTACCACTTCAGATATGTCGTACTTTTACTCTATACAGAAATTTGCCAATTATAGGTGCTAAATATTTAAATACTGTACCAGAATCCGTAATAAAGTTTTTTGATCAATGTTTATCTAGAACAAATACATCAGGAAAAGCTCTTTGCATTACAGAAAATGTAAAACTCTTTGGTGCACTAAAGTATAAGTTTCTAACCAATGCTGAAAAACGAGCTTTAGAGACAATTTTGCCTAATGTAGTTCCAGATCAGTTAGCTTTTTTTGAAAGAGCAGTTGTCAATGGCCAAATGGTGCAAAGTCAGCAGTATGTTAGGAGTTGTAGTAGAATTAATTACTGCGTAGTTGTAAGAGATAATATACTGTGTCTTGTTAGCTCATTTGTTATTGTTAACAATGAGTGTTACGTGTTCTTGATTAAACTCACTACAGGGAGATGTGCGTTTCTGTCTCATAATGCTATATCTAGACATATTATGACAACTACTGGTTCTAACAGTAATACTTTGGTTGCCATGCTTGCTAATGAAATTCAGCAAAAGTGTTTATTTTTACCTTTAAATGTATTTTCTCTTGTAACATTGTATGTGTGCTTTCTGCCCAATCAATGGGAAATTGACTAATTAGTTATTTGCATTTGATTTAATCCGGTTGTATAAATCTGTTGTTTTATTTATTTGAACATTAATTATCTTTTTTATTATGTTTTTATTATGCATCATGTATTTTATTCTAGCTTTTGTTAGCATTATTTAAAAGTTTAAGGTTTGTTGAAAATATAGCTATGTTTGTTATAACTATTTTAATTTTTTGTTTTCATTATCATTGTATTTTTTATAATCTACCAATTTCTCTATAATCGTTTTCTTTAATTATTAAACCTTTTATAGATATTAATAGTATAAATAATATCATTTACTTGCATTCAGTAATGTATATTATTTTGCACAGTGCTGCGCCAGACAGTTATTGCTCTAACAACCCGCACCTCCTGTTTAGTTTTGGGCCCTACATTATGTGTTGAAAAGTTGAGAAACCAACAAAAACACCTATTTCATAATTTTAGTTTTCTCAAATATTTCGAAAATTTCTGGGCAGCTCTAGGCATACCACTCATTTCGCTCTAGATATCTAGGACCCTATATATTCAGATAAAGTACTATTATAAATAACTATTATAACTATTATAAAGCTAAACTATTATAAAACTAAACTATTATAACTATTATTAAACTATACTATTATAAAAGACTATTATAAATAAACAAATTAATGTTTGAGTCTGAATTATATTTATTGAAAATTTAACCTTAGAATAGGATAATTTTAGTTATATGAGGGGCCTCACAGAAATTTCCTTGCAAGGCGCCTTAAGGTACCAAGTTATAGTTTCTAGTTCTAGTCTTCTTCGACTTGGTACCTTTTTCTGTGAGGTGCCTCACTTATTTTTATTTAAGAGCAAAGTAAATAGCAACTTGACAAATAAGTTTTTTTTTTAATTTAATAAACTTGTTATTTTAAGTAATTAGTTTGTTGTAAAATGCATAGCAACATTGTTTAGGCTTTTTTCATGGAATTTTTACTTATAAATTAAATGAATAAATTAATTTTATTTTATTAAATTATAATATATTAAATTAGTAATTAAATTAAATTGTAAATTAAATGAAATAAACTAAATCATTTAAATTTTTTAAATTAGTCTAATACAAAATTGAAAGTTTTATTGTGTAACTGGTTGAGTGCTTGTAGTTTTGTAAAAATTGTTTTAATATTTTTTGCGTGTGAATAGTGCTCTAACAATTTTTTTTTTAATAGTTATAAAAATATACTAATAAATAAACTAAAGATGAGTCACGCTTTAGTGTTTTGGGTTAACAGCCAGCAAACTTCAATTGTGCCTTCAATCGCTGTTAGTGACAAGCAAATGCTTACTGACAATAAAAGAATTGGCAAGATCAAATGGATGGACGAAAAGAGGAAGATGCCTCCAGAAGGATGGTCTTCACACGATGGGCGTGTGCTTTCAATTAGTGGTATAAATACTATGTTAAGATATTATTAAGTGCAATTTACTATATATTTTTTCGGAATCTCATTAATGCTGATTTTGTTAGATAAGCGAATTGATTTGAGCAAAGAGGAAAATAAATTTTGGACAGAAAAAGATAATTTTGATTCAGATCATAGTAAGAGTCCTCCTTCATCAAATGAAAGTAATCATGTTTTAATTAATAAAGAATCTGCACCAAAGAAATTAAAAGTGCAAGTTTGCAACTCCGAAAATAAATTAAAGCAGAAGGTTAGCATAGTTGCAATATGATTTTACACATATAAATTTTTTATTTTTTTCAATTTTAATAGCTTAGTGATAAAAGTATTGAAATGTCCCAAAAAAAAAGGTTTTGAGAAAAGTTATTTTTATCAGTATATCTATTTGACTTTTTATTTTTCTAATAAAAAAAATTAATATTTAATTTGTTTGTAACTTTAATGTATTTGGTGTTATGGATAATATTTAAATTTTTAAAGCAAAAAGATTACATAAATATAAGTTTAAATTAAAAATAAGTTTTCTAAACTTGTTTTTTGTGACTTAGTACTTATAGCACTAAGCATTAATAGTTATTTTTAAATAGTTGTAAAGTTTCTGTATGTGTACCTCTATGTTTCACATGTCTTGATTATAAACAGAATATACTATGAACAAATGAAATATGAAAATTAATTCACTAATTTAAAATGTCAAATACTTTTCTAATTAATATCCTTAGAGGGAAGATTATGCAACAAAGTCATTTGATAAAAGAATTTTATCAGCTATTTCAAACAATAGCTATAATAATGAAAATAAAATAGATAATGAAAGCCTCGATAAAATTACCTTGGCTGTCACAATCACAAACTGTCACAGCTGTTTTAAAACCTGCAAATACTTCAAGATTAGCAATGACAACTTCAAGTTGTTCGCAGTGCCATCTATTGGCTTCCACTGTACAAAAGTATCGTGATGGTAATTTTTAACGTCATAATTATTAATTGACAAATTTTTGTTAAATGTTTTATTTTTTCCACTTGTTTTATTATTTATTAGGTTATTTTTATATTTGATTAGTAACAATAACAAAAAGAATTATTGGTGAAAAAGATTGTTTAATTTAAGTAATTTAACATAAAAATCATACATAATACACCTCGTTTTGATAAAACTGATTATTAACACTATTCGAACCATTTAAATTTGTGCAACTAATAATTTGTTAGATATATCTAAATATCAGAATGTTTATACTCTACAGAAATTGCTGCTATGACTATGCAAGCAGAGGAACATGCTCATATTAAAAAAGAAGATGAACGAATGAAACAAATATTATGTAAATTAAATGATGGTGAATTGAGCTTTTTTGCATTTTTGACAAAAATATTTTGTAAATGTGTTTATCTATGTTTGCCTAACTCGGTTTTAATAAAGTTTATATTTTTATCATATAAACTTTACTATGGAAAGTGCTATTGATTAGTTTAAGATTATTTAGATATTTAGCGATGAAATTTCCAGAATATGCTGCATGTATATACTTTTTATTTGTTGTTGTTATAGACTTACCAAAAATGTTTGGATTCATGCAACAAAGCTTGACATCAGCCCTGAGCCAATCTAGTTCAGAGTGTTTAGACAATTCGTCTCCTATTATTTTACCCGAAATAGCAAGTTTTGCTGCACATAAAACGACTCTGAGTAAATCTGTGAACAATTCATCAGCAAATCAGCTAAGTAAGAATTTTTTTTTAATTTGTCTACTTCAAGAAAAATTTGAGAAAGTGCATGCCCATTATAATTTGAGAAAGTGCATTGCCCATTATTATTACATAAGTTTTAGTTGTACCAAATCAATACAGGGTTGGACATAAAAACCCATACTATGAATCAAATCCTTGTTGATGATTGTTAATTAGAAAAAAAAGTGTTTTTCTTTGCTTTGTTTAAATCTATTTTGTTATATTTTGTTTCCCTGTATGTTAAAAAATAAATTTATAAACCTATAAATGCCTTCTTAGAGAATCAACAACTTATTGCAAATTCACTATCTACATCAAGTGTTACGCGAAATGCCATTGGGGTTCAACAAGTTGATGAGGTGTAAATATAAATTGTAGTAAATGTAAATGTAAATTATTTAGTTATTGTATACTACTGCTATTATTGATCATTATTAGTTTTCAGGCTGTATTTTTAGAATTGGAAAATTGTTGAAAACTCATTTATATATTCAGGTCGGCACTAGAGTGCCGTACTGAATATATAATAGTAGCTTGCCGATGTCTTATCGGCAAAATTTTGCTTTTGAGTTTTTGCATCCTGTTACGAAAAGGCTAATAATTGGCAAAGCAAAAAAAAGATCGGCTTTTGCATTGCCGATCTATTGTTTGCCAAGTTGATACATCAGAAAGGGAATACATTTTTCTTTGTCAAATGCTAGTATGATCAGCATTAGATAAACATGCTTAATTGTATCTAGTTGCTATATGTTTAAGTGTTAGATGACATGGTATACTTTTACCAATTAAAATAAAATTTAAATGATTGTCGCAAGTTTTACGTTTAACTTTTAGATTGATCTGGGGTTTGGTGTCACAGTATCAAACACAAAGCTTTCCATGATTAAGTCGACAAGAGCAACTCATCTTGCTAGGTTACTCATGGAATTGATGTTCACCCAAGAGGAGATGGCACAGAGTTCAGTAACAGGTCGTGTTTCTAACTCTTCAAAAGTAGCAAAGCAAGCATTGAATCCATCAAAAGTTGCTGCCCTGTTGGATAAGATTGTTATACATTTCAAATTAAGACATTTGTAAAAATTATTTATGCATTATTTTTTATTGGCTTTACTAAACGTTATATTTTTATACGATTGTTCAATGCGTAACTTCATGTATTACAAGTTTTGTATTTCCTGCTTTGTTTTGTAGCGTATGTTCATAAATAATTTCCTGGAGCTGATAACAGAATGATAAAGCAGTCAATGGCTGAAAAGCTGCAAGATGTAGGGAAAATCAAAAGGCGTCAAATGAAAGGCAATATTGTGGACGAAAATGAGCCAGAGGATACTTTTTTGCAATAAACTTTTTCATTAATGTTTTTTAAAAGATTTTTGAATTTTACTTCGTTTATTGATTTTATTCTGCAAAGGCGATCCCATTGATTAAGAGAACTCAATAATATTAAAAAGTTGCGTGATAAAATTTGCGTTTTATGGTATATAAGGCAATTAAAATTACATTAGATTTGAAATGATCTGAAAACAAAACATACTATTTTACCATGGAAAAGCCATGGAATTATTATTATTATTATTTTTTTTTTTTTTGTGGCATGTTTTAATGGAAAAACGAAGAGTTTTTAATGGAAAATCTATGAAATAACCCCATGGAAAAACCATTTGGAACACGTTTTCATGGAAAACTCATGGTTTTTCCATGGAAAACTCATGGTTTTTCCATGGAAAACTCATGGTTTTTCCATGGAAAGCTCATGGTTTTTTTCATGGGAACGTGTTCCAAATACCCATGGGTTTTTTTTCTAAAATTCCCATGGGAAATTTTCGTACGGGATGGACATGGGAGGAGTATTGCCAATAAAATAATGTTTAATTTTTTCCATAGAAAAAGTACTCTTGTAATATTGTTTTTTAGTTCAGAGAAAATATTATTGAAACAAGATAATAGAATCTTATTTTAAGTAACAATAATATTAAAATAAGAAAAAAATTCCTTTTTTTTTTTAAATTTAAATTCTTGAAACAAGAAAAAAAATCATATTTTAAAAATATAAATTCTTGAAACAAGAAAAAGAAAAATCTTAATTCAAGAAAATAAATTCTTAAAACAAGAAAAAATATTCCTTTGTGGCGAACAGTCTTTTTTTTGTTTTAAAACTTTTTTTGCTTAAAACAAGAATCTTGGATTTTGCTCTGTACCAGAAAACCCATTGGGCATGCGTCGTCTTGGGGACGTCAGACGTTTCATGGTTTTCTAGACGTCCGTAAGACGACCTCCGGACGACGCAAGCCAACTGGGAAGGCACTAACAGAAGAGTGGTGTTGTGTCCAATTATTATTGCTAGTATAAGTTTAACGAAAAGTTGTTTCTTTTTTTTTTATAGTTAAATATTTATTTTTGTAATGTTATGTTATTAAGATAGATGAACCAAACATCACTTTATAACAAAATTTTAGGCTGAAGATATTATTTCTTCACTTGTGAGGCAACTTATTTTAGTAAAAAATTCAACGTTTTTTTACAAAGTGAAAGTAATAGCAATGGGTCATCGGCATAGTAGTTCACTACATCTATAAATATCTTATTTTAATATTTCTTTTAATAATTTTATTGCTTTAATCCAAGATGATTTGGAGGTATTTTAGGGCTATTGCAGCATTATGACTTGCAATTACCATTTGCTTGTATTAAAAAGGTTAGGCTAAAAATATGTAAAGTCTTCTGAAAATTATTGTTGTTTCTTCGCATTTTGAAACTGTTTAACTATTAGCTTTGATTTAAACAATTCAAATATAAGAATAAAAATTCAAAATTAAATGTTTATATTTGATGATGGTTTTTAAAATATCAAAATAAAATGTAATTTTTATTTTTTGGTTTTCTTTGGTTTTCTTTTTTTTATTAAAGTGTGCTATTTAATCATTTTATTTATCGATTTTTTATTAAATTAGTCATGCAATTTTTTTAAATTAAGTATGGCAAAACAATTACATTTTTTAATTGTCAACATCTAAAACACTATCGTGTAACATGTCATAAAGCCCAATTTAGCGCGCCACATTTAAATTTTCTAAACGTGGCGTAAAAAATCGGGATTGGTGACATGCGACATTATCTAGTTTTTTTCCCCGCACTTCAATCCTTTGGAACTCTCTCCCATGTTTTCCTGACTCATACAACCTTCAACTTTTCAAGTCTTCTGTCAACTGTTTCCTTGCTCTATAACTCTGTTCTTTTTTTTCCTAGTAACTCCCAACTTAATAGTGGTTGCTTGCCGTGTCACATGATAGAGCCGAAAATATTTATCCTCGAAAATTAACCGAAATATTTCACAACCGAAAATTTTAGAACCGAAAAGTATACTTTCATTGCAGGATCGAATTACAAAATCCTTTCTTGCGCCGAAAGTTTTTAAACCGAATTTTACAACCGGAAAAATTTGGATCGAATTACAAAATCCTTTCTTTTTCACCTAACGTCAAATAGCCTGCTGCTGGGGGTTTCAGTACATACATCGACTGACAAATAGCCTGACTCGCAGTGGAGTGCTGCTACATCGACTGAGGGTTTGGTATGGGTCAGCAACCTTTTCATTCATTATTTTTCAATTTCCCTCATCGTTTTCTAAAATATACAATGTTTGATAACAGTGAAACTTTTGGTTGTAAACCATTTTAATGAAATTCGGTTCTAAAATCATTAATGACTTACGATCGAAAATTCGATTGAAATTTCGTTTCTAATTTTTTTCGTAAATATTTTCGGTTGTGTAATAAATTTCTCATATTCGGTTCTAAATTAAATTTAGAGATTCAGTTGAATCATAGGACGCCGTTGCTTGCAGCCTTGTTGGGAATGAATGCAAATAAAAATAAAAAAAAAAGAATTGTTTATGATTAAGTTTTAGTTTTAAATTTTCATATGACATTATTTCTTACTACTCATGTGTGTTCGTTATTATAACTCATGCGATAAAAACATCGGATAACTTAATTCATTATAATAAATAAAAAAAACTTACTTCGTTCACATTTATCAATTACATCGTTTCTTTCGCAATAAACCAACCCATTTTTAATTTCTTTCCAGACTTTGTCAGGATACTTTCTAATCCAACTGTTTAGAATTTGATAGGTTTGTTCAAAGGCAGTATTAAACTCACTCAACACACGATCAATTTTTTCATCGTCAATATCCAATCTACGAGCAAGCTTTTTCCAGTCATTGGGTAATTCATGTGCAAGCGTGTTCAACACTTCTTGGGGAAGTTTTTTAACTAAAAAAATGAAAAGGTTTTTTTAAAAAATGTCAAAAGCATTGTTTATTTATATAACAGAAAAAAAATCACCTTTTAAATCATCGAATTCGTTGCAAACACCTTCTTCCTCCATTTAATTTTAAACGACGGTTTGTTACTAAAGAATGTCTTACTGAAAATAACTTTTCAAACTCCAACATCATCTGTCAATGAGTACTTCTAATATCAACTGTAAAAAACTTTTCAATTTTTATGTTCGCAAACAAAATTGAATTTGTTTACTTAGATGTTATTATTTGTCAAAAAAGAACAGAATATGTTTTACAGTTTTTGAAATAGTAAAAAAATTTCTTGACGCGGTATTTTAAAAGACAAGCACTTTTGATTTAAAATTCTGCAAAAAACGCGCTTTAAAATGTTATTGTTTGTGGGTCACCATTTTTATCTTATACAACAAACTAGAAACAGCTTCACAGTAAACTCACAACAGATATAATCTATTTGCTAAATCTACAAAGTTGGTGTCAACAACAAAATTAGAACAATCGAGAGGACATAGAGGTAGATACAAATTAGAGTATAGTTGCTAGCTGCTATAGACTGATTCAATTTAGATAAGTTAATCGTTTATTGTTTCATCTCTTTTAGATAATCATGATGGTATTCAAAAAGGGATAAAACGATTTAAAAAATGAAATTTTTACGAGACGCCATATAAAAACATTTTTATAACTTATGTATCCTCCGTAATTTTTTTACTTATGTTTCATACAGTAGAAAAACATTATAACACAATAACTCCATTTTTCAAAAAGTAGAGATGATCAAGATATTTCTAACTTTGCGATTAACTATAAAAGTTTTTTGTAACAAGTTGTTTAACAAAAATAGTTTGTAAACCGTAGAAAAATTAGATCTAAAAGACCAGAAAAATATTAAAGCAATCTTCAACTTCACGTGAAAGAAATACTTTCCATTTAGACAATTTTCTGACCTGGATAGAAGTTGACATATGTATATCTAAAAAAACCATAAAAACAACAACAATTGATTAGCGATTGCAATCCCGGGATACCGGTTTTTTATATATTCCGAAATCCTGGGATTCTCTATTATCAAATCCGGGATTTCCTATAAGATTGAACAAAAAAACAACGTACTGAAAAAATATAACAACGTACTGAAAGAAAATTACAACTTAAAGTCTCAATAAAATAATTTAGAAATATTATAAAATTGCAGAAAATAATTGTATTTTTAGCTTTGCAATAAAAAAAATTATCGAAAAGGTTTGATTTGCAGAAAAAAAAAGGTCAACGTTTTGTATTTTAAAAGAAAGATTAAATAACTAAAAAAAGTAAGGTCCAAATACAAATCCTAAATCATTTATTTAAAAGATTAAACAGGAATTAATTTAAACTTTATACAATAGTAAAAGTTAATTTGTTTAGCCTTTAAATCTTCAAAGTTCTTGATTTTTTCGGTTATGTCTAATTGTGTTGCTCTTTCATTTTCGATGGCTATTATAGATTAAGTTATTTAATCGTTCGTCATTCTTAGTAGATCGTAAATATTTTTTTATTAGCTTCAATTTGCTAAAATTCTCACTTGCAACAGTAATTAGTTTGACAGACATTCGTAATAAAATCCAAATATTAAGAACCACAATTTGCGATTCACTTGATTTTATATAGTTCAAGACATTTAGCGGACGTCCAAGAGTATCTTTAGGCAAAAGGGTAGATACAAATTTCAACTCGTCAAATAATTCTGTGCCATCAATATCGCTATCATTTTTCATTTTTAATTTCAAATGCAGATCTTTTCAAAACTTATGTAAGTCATTGTCTGCAAGTAAATTTCTTCAGATTATATAAAATTTCCCATGTTTGGTGAAATTCATTCAGTTGTTAAAATCTTTCTTGAAGAGATGTTATGGCATTAAAAATGTTTTTTGGAATTATTACAATTGCATCTCTACTCTCAAAAGCAAACATTTTTTTTTACGGCGTAACCTTTTCATAAATAAGCTCAACTTGCAAAGATTCAGCCAACTTTTTTTCATTCACTAGAGAATTTTCAAAACCAGTTACCCTATATTCTATCACAAAATCTGTACATGATT